GCTGGTCCTGCCTCTTGGGGCAGTGGATTCCATACTCTCTTCCTCTCCATGTGCATTTCATCATAAGGCTCCCTGAGGCCACTGAATCCCTGGTATAGGGCCGAGCATAACATAGATGCACGATGACTGCTCCATCAATGAAGCCCCTGTAGTAAGGATGTGAGCCTCCTACTTCTCACTCTCTTTTCGTGGGGAGGCTGAAGAATAGAAAGCCACTTTTCCGATGGTCCCAACACTGCTCCGGCCTGCCCTTCCCCTAACCCTCCTTACAAATCCAGGTTGCAGGAGGCCCTCTAAGGAGTCCCACTCAGAGAAACAAAGGAGATGGCAGCTGTCAGCACTGGGTTCTCTGACCCATGGCCTAAAGACCCACCACCAACTGACACAGCCCAGATCTGAGACCACAGTGCCTCCCTCTCTTCACCTTCCCCCTACCCAGGCACATCCCCTCCCCAGCCTCTGAGAAACACACCTGTGAATGTGACACCTTCTATGTCCCTTCCCTTCAACATGCGTCTTACTATTGAGGCCACTTTTTCACCTCCTTGTCTGCCTTAGGGTGGAGGTGTTGCCCTGAGCAACAGTGATGTCACCTGCAGGGTGCTTCCATTCCATTGATGTCACGGGGTGGGCCTAATGGATAGAGGGGAAGGTGCTCTCCGTGGGAAACCTTCACAGGTCCTAAACTGTTGAGGAGGAGTCTACAGGCCTTTTGGGCACTCCCAAATGACCCCTTTCCTCTCCCAGAAGAGTTCTTCACCCTTCCTTCCTCTCTGGATGCCTGTTACAGTTCATGCCTTAAATCTGACTTTCCCTCTGCCAGAGTTGGTCAAAAGATCAGGACGAGCAGCTCCAAACAAACCACTGGAAAGAGCACTGAGAATAGATGTCCTCCCCATCTAGGACAGTCTGGGTCCCTACGGCCTTGTGTCCAGACCTCAGAGGAGGGAGCAGTGACCTGATGGGGAAGAAGTCGGCAGAGAACGCAGACCCTGGATTAACTCTGCTGTCCTGAAGAGTGCGGATTTCCAGTCTGCACCAGCCTCTGTGCTCAGTGCCTTCTGCGCGACGTCTGACTCAACCCTCCCCACAGCCCTGAGGGTCATCCTCATTTTACTGATGATGTTACCGGGGCTTGAAGAATCAAGGCACTTGCCGAACTCCTGGGAACGCCCAACCACTGAGTGGTGGAGCCAGGACTCAGCCCAAGTCTGCCCCACTTCAAAGCCCATGAGCTCACACCTCCTCGGCTCTGGACACCTCGAGATGTGGCTCACTAAAGATGGACCATGAAGGGCCTGGACAGAGACCAGAAAGAGCCCTTTAAATCCAAAGAGGCCAGTTGGGCAGGGCAGGTGGCCTGAGGCAGCAAAGGAAGGCACTGCTTTAGGAGGGCTTCGCCCCCTGCCCTACAGAGGATGCAATCAGTGGCCAGCCTTGGGCCGGCCTCCATGCTGATTAGGGACCATGTGTCTTTGCTCTATGCTTGACTTTCTACTGATTCATCCAGGTTACCTGATCATCCTCTTGATTTGCATATAGCATTATTTTCATGGCCTGGCCCTACAACCCTGAGATTATACAGTAGTTACTGAACTTACGCAAATACAAATCTTTTGTTTTTTTGAGACAGAGTCTCGCTTTGTCACCAGGCGCCAGGCTGGAGTGCAGTGGCGAAATCTTGGCTCACTGCAACCTCTGCCTCCAGGGTTCAAGCAATTCTCCTGCCTCAACCTCCTGAGTAGCTGGGACTACAGGCACATGCCACCATGCCCAGCTAATTTTTGTATTTTTAGTAGAGATGGGGTTTCACCATGTTGGCCAGGATGGTCTCAATCTCTTGACCTCATGATCCGCCTGCCTCGGCCTCCCAGAGTGCTGGGATCACAGGCGTGAGCCACCGCGCCCGACCCGCAAATGCAAATCTATGTTGCTGGGAGCTAATGCTTGCAAAGCATCAAACAAGTAAGTAAATAAAATAAAAAATTACTACATTATGAAAGAGGAAAGGGAGAAATTCTACCAGGATTTCTCAGGGAAATACTGCCCTTGAGGCACTGGCCAAGGAGATGCCCACAGCCAGGCTGACCTGAGTATCCAGTCTACCTGGCAGGTATCTTTCTGCTGGTGAGGGGGCCACAGAGGCAGACAGTGGATGTCCTGCGCTACTGGACATCACTGCCCCCTACCCCATGCTCCTCCTGCATGGTTCTGACTCCAGCTTTGCTAAGCACAGCTTTGGTTTTCCATATGGCTTGTCTAGGATGCAGGGAAGAGACGACATCCAGCCTGTGAGATGTTTGCAAAGTCTCCTTGCAAATTAATAAACCAGCATTCTGACTCGTACACCCACTTCCGGGAGCTTTCTCGGGGTGAATCAGCTTGAGTCCAAACCAATCTGAAAATTATGGAAATCAGGTTTTTGAGTGGGCACAGCTAAGAGCCATCTCCTAGGACAGGTGACATAATCCAGGTAAACACCACCCTCTGAGCAATCTGCTGGGCACCAGCTGTCACCTCCCAGGAGGCATCTTGACTTCCTCAATGATGAGAAGCCCCTTTTGTTTAAAGTGCCAATCGACAGTGCACAGTGAAATGCTTGGTTCCAGCTAATTAAGCTCAGCTGTATGGTGTGAAAACTCAGTGATCATGTATATGGAGCTGTGAAATGGAGTTTCAGGAAGGTTTCCTGAACGAACTTGGGAAGGGCATTTGTGGCTGAACAGGACTCCAACAAGGAAGCAAGGGACCACAGAGGGGGATTAGGGGTTTGGAAGGTCGGGACAGATGTCTCATCTCCTTCCACTGGCTCTCTGCCTAGGTCAGGACCCTGCACACAGCCACTGCCATTTCCCTCTGAGCCATACCTAGGGGCACTTACTCATCACCCTCATGCTAGGCCCCAAACTGGATCTGCCACCTCACACCACCCAGAGAAAGGCAAGTCACTTGCTTCTTGGGCCAGGCTCCCCATCAGCCATCAGGGCCGGGCTTGCCTCTTTCTTTCCTCTTCTTCCTCCTGCCAGATGAATTTCCCCTCCTTCCTCCACCTGGGCTGAGAACAGGTATTTCCTCCTTTGACAAAGAAAGAAAAAGGCAACTGTTCTTCCCTCTTTCCCACTAGGGTCCCCAATTAAACTAGCTTTTTAAGCTTAAGTTGCTTCTCGGTCTATGAATGCTCAGTGATTGAGACTCACCTTCCAGGCTCCTGAACACTTAACATCCCTGTGCCTCAGTTTCCTCATCTGTAAAATGGAGTTCACAATACCTAGCTCATAGGGCTACTGAGAGGATTAAATGAGTTAATACAGGCTAAGTGCTTTTGGAAAACAAAAAAAAGCCTGGCGAATGTTAAGCCTTCAACAGTGGCTGTTTATCAGGGCTGCTGTGAATGACGGAACAAGCCGTGTACTAATTAAGGGCACCTGGCTGAGGGGTGAGGACAAATCCAGCTCACATGCCATTTGCCCAGCTACATGGCTTGGCTATGTCCACTCAGGTAAGGCCAGTATTTCTAAGTGGCATCAAGTGGCATTGTCTTGCCAAGACAGAGCACTTTATTCTAATTCATTCGAAGGACTGAATAGGGTAGCAGCAGCCCTGGAGGTTATCATGAACAGTTCTCAGCATCCTTGTGGTTCTGTACTCCTCTCCTCTCGTACACCCACTTCTGGGAGCTTTCTCGGGGTGAATCAGTAGCTCAAGTCCAAACCGCTCTGAAAATTATGGAAACTGATTTCCATAAAACCCGATTTTTGAGTGGGCACAACTAAGAGCCATCCCCTGGGACAGGTGACATGATCCAGGTAAACACCACCCCTGGGTGCACCCAGGAAGACTGGAGGAGTGGAGGGTCCAGTATGGCCTGGTGTCATCCATAATAAAGTCCTGCTTCTCAGCTCCCAGCACGTTTGGAGCGCCTGCCCCACCCAAGTACATTCTCCATTAAGCCCCACAGGCTGCGCTGCCACCTCATCCCCACTGGAGCGGACTCTCAACTCCAAACTTGGGACCAGAGTCTTGGACTCTGAAGGCACCTTCTCCTGCTCAGTTATTTGAGGCGGGGGGTGCAGCGGGGTGTGGGGTAAGAGGGGAGGTTAGAGACAGGGTATCACTTTGTCACCCCGGATGGAGTACAGTAGCATGATCCTAGCTCCAAATGGATGATCCTGGCTCTAAGTCTTGAACTCCTGGGCTCAAGCAAGCCTCCCAAAGCTCTGGGAAGACAGGCAAGAACCACCCTGCCCAGCCTCTTTTCTGGCTTTGTTGATGGCCACCCCTCTCTGCTGACAGCTGTGAAAGGAAAATACAACCTCAGGACCCCAAGCTCAGGATGCCAAAGGGAAAAGTTAAGCTTGGGAACTGAGTCATGCAAAAAACAAAACCAAAACCAAAACTGCATTCCTTTTGTTCCCAAACAGCTATAATTTCACATGCTTACTTTACCTCATCTTATGTAAAATGTAGATCTCCTGAGCATGAGAAGAATGCACCCAGGGTGAGCAGAGTCAGTATAACTACTTCACGGTTACCCACAAGTGGAGAAAATCTGAAGGCAGAATGGCCTGGAGCAGCAGCAACACACAGGGAATCAGCAAACAATGAAAGCTACTTAGGCAAGTAGGCTGGAGGGAGGACTCAAAAACACAGCCTTTTCTGTTTTGTTTTCATATGGGAGAAAGGCGGTAATCTACTTTTCTAATACTCCATTTTCAGGGCTAACCTGGGCCTAAAACTGCCCCAACCACAGAAGAACTTTAGCTGGCAGTCAGACCCGGTTTATAAAAGGCAAGAGCCCTGGGTCATATCAAAAAAAAAAAAAAAAAAAAAAAAAAAAAGAACAAGAAAATAGACCGCGAACCCGATTTAGATCCAAAAGACCACAGTCCAGATTGCGACCAATATCTGGTACTCTACGAGCTGTGAACGGGTGCCTTTCTCACACCAGCAGAGGGCAAAGGCAAAATGACGCCCCTGCCTGGTTCTGCAAAATATCTTACCTTACTAGTCCGCGTCATTTTTTTTTTTAAGAGAAAGAGCGTTTTGGATGGGGAGTCCGGCCCTGGAACTCCTTGAGTCTTCACCTGGCAGCCAGAATGGCAAAGTCACAGGGAGGGGGTTGAGGGTGGGGTTAGGGGTGAAGTGGCAGAGAGTTATTTGCAGTCCCATGAGAAAGTCTGCAGAGTATGGGGTCTGGTCTACTAACAGACCCGAAAGAGGAAGCGGCGGGGACTTTATCCGGCCTGAAGCAGCCCCATAACTTCACTACCCTGAACCGAGAAAAAAACAACCTCACTCCTGTTCCTTTCTTACAGGAAAGGAGGGAAGAGGACAGGGAAAAGGGGGCGGCAAATATGAGCAGGGGAACCGGCTTTTCTTTCTGCGGTAGCGCTCTGCTCTGATGTGAGAAGTAACGGATTGCCCGGGCGCTAGGAACAAAAACGTGGTCCCGCTCTGGGCCCCGAGGCTCCCCGCGCAAGGAAAAGCCGCCCGCAGCCCTAGCTGCAGCGAGCGCCCTGGACGCACCCCCGTGCGGCCGGAGCAGGACGCGTGACCGCCAGGAGACAATGCGCCCGCCTGGGCAGGCGCGCTGTAAGAGGGTCTCCAAAGTCAGCCCCCACCCGAGGGCCGAGCAGGCGCCCCCGCTCGCGGCAGCCATCCCCGGCACAGCTCCTCCCAGCTCGCGGTCTCCATCGCGCCCTTCTTCCTTCAGCACAGTAGGCTGGCCCGGGACTTACGACTGGCCTGGGTCTCCGGTCCCTGGTCCCCCCCGCGGGAGAACCGCTCCAGCACAGGCTTTGCGCGCGGGTCGGGGGCCGGGGCGCCGCTGCTTGCAGGCGGCTGCGGCGGAGCATGCGGCCAGGCACTTAGAGGGGCGCGGGGGAAGATGCCCCGGCTGGCTCCCGCCTTCTGGCCTCCGTCGGCTGGCTCTACAGGACTTCAGTTACTCATTTCCTGGATGTCACAAAAACTTTTTCCTCCTTATAAGAACAAAACACCCGCCTCCAACCGCGGCTGCGGAAGCTCTTTAAGGAGGACCGCGTGGGTTTCGGTGGTTGGGCCCAGGATCCGCCGGGAAGATCTGTCCAGTGAGCTCCCAGAGACTCCAACGGCACGGCAGAACTGGAGAGTGGCTGGGAGAGACGGAAGCAGGCTACTGGAGTAAACTGGAGAGAGGGGACAGGGGCGCGGAGAGGACGCCCTTAAAAGTCGTTCTAAGCCACGGAGCGGAAGGGGTTAAGTTATTACAAGTCGGGAGTGTTTTCTGCGGCGCGTTTTACAAGTGGCAGAATTCCTGGGGCCGGTCTCTTGGAGGAAAATATAAATCGAGACATAACGCCAGCCTTTTTCCCTTTTGCAGCTTAAAAGGATTAAAATAACTCACTAACTTTTGTGATACACAAATGCCTGATTGCTTTTCTCTGGATTTAACCAGGCACAAAGGACAACGGTGACCGGATGCTCTCGGAAGCCGTCGTTTCTAAACCTGGTTACTGTTGTGACTAGATGAAGTGTTACTACCCCTATGTTAGAAACAGAGAACTGAGGCCTGGAGGAGCAGCAGCAGCATCCTGGTCGAGCTTAATAGTTTATAAAACCCTTAACTTCCTGTAATCCCAGCTACTCAGGAGGCTGAGGCAGGAGAATTGCCTGAACCCAGGAGGCGGAGGTTGCGGTGAGCCGAGATTGCGCCATTGCACTCCAGCCTGGGTAATAAGAGCGAAACTCCGACTCAAAAAAAAAAAAAAAAAAAAAAAAAAAAAAAAAAAAAACCCTTAACTTCCATGGTCTTCCCTTTGACGTGCCCAAATCCCGCAATCAGTAGAAAAGGCAGAGAAGGGTTTGAATGAATTCTACATTAAGCGGCTTTGGGGGCATCAAATGCCAGTGAAGGCACGTTGGGGAAATTGGAACCCACTGTCCAAAATGATCACCATTGCTATTGTTTTATGGTCTTAGGTAACCTTCTTTTCGTCTTTTCCTTTAACACTCGCCTGAGAGACTTCAGGCTGAGTCTGAAAGATAAACAGGCAATGAGAAAATTTTCTAAAAATAGACTCCCTGGCCCTTGGCCCAGGGTACTTTTATTTTCAAGTTTCTACTGCTGCTTAAATTCTTTCCTTGTATAAGAGGTTATGGCAGAGTTTTGGGGGCCAGTGTATGTGTTGGGAGTGGTGGGGGCGTCTGGGGAAACAGTCTTGAAAGAGCTGTGTATTTCCAAAATGTTTATAAGTTGGCCCATGGAGTACTCACACCCTCTCCAAAGCAAGCGGGGGAAATTTCTGGGAAGTGAGAGCACTGGACTGAGCTTTGTATTCCTTGGGCTAAGAGTTCAGGGTTATGCTGGAATGCCAAGGTTAGTGCTTGAATGCCCTCTGGGATCGTCATCCCGTCTGCAAAGTTGTTTCAGCAATTTCTAACCAGCTACGTTTATTTATATAAGGAATATTTATTATATTTGTTTTGCTTTTAAGATGATGATGTCACCTTCTGTGATCTGATTGGTTCCTGTCTGTTCTCAGGTCGCCCGTTCTAACCTGGCGTGTAAGTCGTTGGTCTTGTCAGAAGCAAATATAAAACAATTGTTTATTCTGGTCCCTAGCAGAATAGACAACTTCCATTGAAGTTACAATAAGAAATTAAAATGTTTTATGATAAATTAAACTATTCTTTATATCATTTATTTTAAATATATAATTTTAATTTCTTGAAATTAAGAATTATTGTTAATAATCATTAAGCTTATAATAAGAAATTAAAAACCAGACTAGGAAATGAACCACACGAGGATGTGAACTGGGAAATGTAATAAACAGGAAAGTTAGCCCCTTAAGTATCTGAGGCAATAGAACAATTTGAAAAAGACTATAAAATAGTTATGATCGAAATACAGAGATAAGGCCTGTCGCGGTGGCTCACGCCTGTAATCTCAGCACTTTGGGAGGCCGAGGCGGGTGGATCACAAGGTCAATAAATCGAGACCATCCTGGTCAACACGGTGAAACCCCATCTCTACTAAAAATACAAAATATCAGCTGGGCATGGTGGCGCGTGCCTGTAATCCCAGCTACTCAGGAGGCTGAGGCAGGAGAATTGCCTGAACCCAGGAGGCGGAGGTTGCGGTGAGCCGAGATCGCGCCATTGCACTCCAGCCTGGGTAACAAGAGTGAAACTCCGTCTCAAAAAAAAAAAAAAAAAAAACAGAGATAAAATGATAGGACATGGGACTATGAAAAAAGAACAGGTAAATTTGGAAAAGTACAGATATAATATGTAGAAATAAAAAGTTTAGAAATTTATATTTTAAAAACCTCAATGACTGAAATTCTTTTTTTTAAGGCAGTTATATCAGTCAAAAATCTAGTAAAAATAGCTTATTGAAAAGGGGAAAGAAAAGTAATGTATTAATCTCCTTTATGAATACTGTTTCAGAAATTTCAAATAATATATTAATAAATAGAATTCCAGCAGCACATCAAAGAATATCATTAATAGATTAAAAGAGAAACACTGCAAGATCATCACCCTATATGCTGAAAAAATTTGGCATCCAAATATAAACAAACTGTCTGTAACATGGTAAAAACAAAGGGTAAAGTTCAGCCCCCAAACCAGTGTTATGCTTAATGGGGAAATATTAGAAACCTTCATGTTAAAGTCAGTGCAAGATACGTATGTCTTCCTTCACGCCTATTCTTTTTAAAAATTATCAATTAGGAATATGTTTGGCTGCAAATAATGGAATACCAGACTGTAATTTTTATAAGTGTCTAAGCTATAAAAGGCTTAAACAAATAAGGATTTATTTTTCTCACATAAGAAGCTTGTATCTAGGTGGCTATTTTGGGTCAGTGCCTTGATAGTTTCAGGGCTGATCAAAGGATATGTGCATTTACTGTTTTGATATATGTTACAAAATTGCCCTCCAAAGAGATCTCAACCAATTTGAACTATTTCCCATAGTATGACGATTGCCTTTTTCTCCACATTGTTGTCAACACTGGGTATTTTCTATTATAACTTGAATCAGTTTGCTTCTTTTATAGATTGGAAAAAAAAAAACCCTAATCTGGGTGTTTTGGTTTGCATTTCTTTAATTATGAGGGAGGCTGAACAGAACATTGTTATTGGCCACCTTTATGTTTTTATGCGTGAAGATTCTTATGATGCCCCCTATTTTTCTACTGGCTTGTTTATGTATATATGTGTGTGTGTGAAAGTAGATGGAATTTTCTTCATGATCAGTTAAGTGCTAGATGAGGCTTCAAATTCCATAGTGAAAGGTGACTTGTCAGCTGGGTGCGGTGTCTCCTGCTGTAATCTCAGCACTTTGAAAGGCCAAGGTGGGCGGATCACTTGAGGTCAGTAGTTTTAGACCAACCTGACCAACATGGCGAAACCCCATCTATAAAAAAAAAAAATACAAAAATTAGCCAGGCATGGTGGCACTTGCCTATAATTCCAGCTACCCAGAAGGCTGAGGCACAAAAATTGCTGGCCCCTGGGAGGCAGAGGTTGCAGTGAGCCAAGATTGCACCACTGCACTCCAGCCTGGGTGAGAGTGTGAGACCCTGTCCTAGAATAAAAAAAAAAAAAGGTGACTTGTGACAAAGTGAATCAACTACAGGGCAGCTTCACAGCACATCTCACAGTCAGGAGCACTGGACATTAAAAAAAAAATTAAATACACAGGGACAGATTTCCTGTTCACCCCTATCTGTGGTTATTCCAGTATATGGAATAAAAGGCATGACAATGGGAGAGACAGGAAGCCTATGCTAGTCATGAAGCATCTGATGGAGGGAAAAAGGGCACTTCCCTTCATCTGGTCAATTTCCCACTACCCTGAATTCAACTGCACATGGAATTTCACAAGATAAATAGCAAGTTAGTTTACAGGATGTTTCACAGAACAGGATGCTTTGCTGAGACCTCAGAGGTGTCAGCTGAACAAGATGAATGATTTGCATTTGGCTTTCATTCCTCAAGGTCAGTGTTGGTGACATGCCTCCTCTGGGAATGTTGGAGCCCACAGGGCCTTTAGAGATTATTTACTGACAAAAATGAAGTTCAGAGAAGTTAGGTCACATACTCAAGGTCACATTGCTGGTGAGCGATAATAATAGTAGCTAAAACTTGTGCCATGTGCTAGATATTACTCATGCATTTTACACCTACCAACTCATTTAATCCTCATATCAACCCCATGTGGAAGGAATCATTAGATTCTACAGAATCTATGTTTTTCAAAGATTTTTGAAAATACATTGCCGGGAGCGGTGGCTCAAGCCTGTAATCCCAGCACTTTGGGAGGCCGAGGCGGGTGGATCACGAGGTCAAGAGATCGAGACCATCCTGGTCAACACGGTGAAACCCCGTCTCTACTAAAGCTACAAAAAATTAGCTGGGCATGGTGGTGCGTGCCTGTAATCCCAGCTGCTCAGGAGGCTGAGGCAGGAGAATTGCCTGAACCCAGGAGGCGGAGGTTGCGGTGAGCCGAGATTGCGCCATTGCACTCCGCCCGGGTTAACAAAAGCGAAAATCTTTTTAAAAAAAAAAAAAAAAAAGAAAATACATTTTATTTCACAACCCGGTATACTCACACATACAAGTACATTATAATTGAAAGACAGATTCCTTAAAAACAATTGTTAGGTTTACTAAATGTGACACAAACTGTTATGTCCCCTTTACTTTTAACTCTTCCAATATGTTACCCTCTTTTGAAAAAAATGCAAAACTTATTAAATGAGTCAAGATCCAAACTTTGAAGAAAATTCTTTTTTTTTGGAGATAGAGTCTCACTTTGTTGCTCAGGTGAGAGGGACAATCAGCTTCACTGCAGCCTCAACCTCCCAGGCTCAATCAATCCTGCCTCAACCTCCCGAGTAGCTGGGACTACAGGTGTGTGCCACCATACCTGGCTAATTTTCCTGTTTTTTTGCAGAGATGATATCTCACTATGTTGCCCAGGCTGGTCTCGAACTCCTGGGCTCAAGTGATCCTCCCACCTTGGCCTCCCAAAGCGCTGGGATTACAGGAGTGAGCCACCACACCTGACCCACTCTCATGTTTTTTTTTTTTTTGAGACGGAGTTTCGCTCTTGTTGCCCAGGCTGGAGTGCAGTGGCGCGATCTCGGCTCACCGCAACCTCCGCCTCCTGGGTTCAGGCAATTCTCCTGCCTCAGCCTCCTGAGTAGCTGGGATTACAGGCATGCGCCACCATGCCCAGCTGATTTTTTGTATTTTTAGTAGAGACGGGGTTTCACTATGTTGACCAGGATGGTCTCGATCTCTTGACCTCGTGATCCACCCGCCTGGGCCTTCCAAAGTGCTGGGATTACAGGCGTGAGCCACCGCGCCCGGCCCCCACTTAGGTTTTTTAACCAATCTGGTCCACCGGTTCGCTTGTGCGTGTCCTTACCAGACCTGGGTAGGACATCAAACTGCAAGCTTGGCGTCTTGGGCAAGAAGCAAATGATCTAGCCTAACC